GGACGGCTAGCGCAGATAGCCCTCGTGTATCTTTGCGCGAAATTCAAAAACAAACAAACAAACTAGGCTTCGTCAAATATTTTTAGTGAGTTAGTTCTAAGCTTTGTAAAATACATTTCTTTGGCTTTAGGTTTCTTGTAATACATCTCCTGGGTTCTAGGTTTGGTCAAACATAAGTCGTGGGCTCTAGACTTCATCAAACATGTCGTGGGTTCTACGCTTCGTCAAACATATTTCATGAGTTCTATAGCAAACTGTGTAATATACCTGCCCACATCAGTTCAGACACGTACATTCTGACTAAATAACCTATTTTCTGATTAGTAGAAGGCGATGTTTGCCTACGTTAATTCCAATAATCAATCGCACTTATCAACTTTATTGACATTGGTAAACATAGAATTCACAGATCTCACTTTATCAGTAGCTTAGCTGCGTTGTATTTATTCGCACTTTCTTGAATAATCACATCTAACTTAAGCTCAGATTCCAACTTAATTTACAAACTTTCTAATTTTAGGTAATGTTTGTCCAACATGTGAGAGTTTCCCAGCAACTATAGAATATTACACCAGTACGTCTAACATCGAAACTAAAGATATTCTCAATAAAACACAGTTGATACTAACCTTACATAATCAGAGATATATAAAAAAACTTTACATTTTAAATCAAGTTTTATGACATATAAAATCCCTTCAAGAGTTATGTAGTTAAGACCTTTCTTATTCCAATTTTTATATATTAATTACATTGTTATTAACGTTTAAAATAAAATATATCAGCATTCTCTTAAACTTTAGCACATTGGTAAATTAGCATGGGAGACTACGCTTCCCTCAAAATACAGCGAATTAGCTTTCAAATACTCCCTGGGAAAGCATAAATCAAGTTTGTCGAAGTGCTGTTAGCAATAATAAAACGCTACATATGAACTGTTCAAGTAAAATCACAAATTGATACTGCCTATAAGTTCTGTTATATACTATTCATAATTATTTTTATCTAGGTTCCGAATAATGAAATTATGAATATCCTTTCCACCTGCTGCTGTTCTTTGTCTATTGCAGCCCTGGTTTTGTCTATATTTTGTTTCATTTCATTCAGGTATGTGATTATAATCTCATACAAAGCATTTCTTTGAAACCGAGTGTCTACAAATATCTTCACCCAAGTCTGAAGTATTACTAACATTGTAAAAACGTGAAACCCAAAAAAGAAACTTTGGACGAAGTAAAAGTAGCATACAGAGGTTAAGTACGTTATATTAAATTATTTTGGAGACTCATCACATTATTACAGTCCATATCGACACGTTAGTTCATGCTCTATCTGATGACAGTGCATCTTGACAATAGCCCTGCAACGTAGATTATATTACAAAAAAATGTTCTGTCTTAAAACTTCCATACCCAAAGCATACGACTCCTGCCTGCATGGTTTCCATAGTCCATCTAGTGCACGTGGATGATAGCTTTCATGCACCCATTTTATCCGTCCGATCGCACAGAAATCCATATTGTCTGGGCTGGTGACTTGAATGGCATGTCTTCGTATGGAATAGTATGAATCCCCATTTCATTATTTGGCTGATTAAGGCATGTAATGGTTGAATGGATATTTCATGGAAGCAGATTGTTTATAGGTGACTTATGTTGCATACTTAACTAGGGTCACATGGGTGGTTTTGCCACAGATCTTTTAGATCGTGTGTTCTCATCTGTTACAAGAAGCCGCAAATTGATCCACATTCTTTTGTTTTCCAATATCATTAAGTACAAGGGATATCCTTGTCTTGAAAATTCTACATTCCCTATAAGAACACGTTGCTTATATATGAGTGTGTAAATATTTTTCGTTGGTAGGGACTGGTACAAGCCCTTCCCAAAAGGTGTAAAAACAGAACCTACTAAACACCAAATAATGTCAAAATGTAATTCTTAGGAATCACGTTCCACTGCGAGTTTATGTGGTTGTCGCATGACTTGCTGATTTAAATATTGAAAATATTTTAATATAACGTACTCAACTCTCTGTGTAGTCAAAATATTAATGCTAGATATAACACGGGAAGTAATCTTTGAGACATGATGTGGAACACGTTGCTTAATTCAGAAAATAAAATATTCATTAAAGTATTATTAATTGAATATTTATGTTAGTACGCGTAGTTTTTAATAAATCCGAAATTATGCATTCTTTATATAGATATAATAGTGATCAAAAGTTTGATATTATTAAGCTATTTATTGATACGAAAAGCATTGTTTTACTGGTAAATATTTACACATGTAGCTATTTTATTTTCATTAAACTTACGAATACAAATAGTTAATTTGATTTTTGTGGAAAAACATTTAATAAATATGTGCATTGCATAAGTTATATGTATATATACGAAAATTTGAATGATGTTCTTTTAACAGTATTTATTAAACCTAACTTTAGTGCAGAATGCATCTAGCCTATATATACATTTCTTTCGAAGTTTTAAGCTTAAGATTACCATTAATAATAAATATCAAAATAACTTATTTAATTAAGATAAATTTGATTCGGGACTTACAATAAAGCTGTAGTCAGTATGGAGATTTAGTTTTAAGTTAGATATTAATGTTTTGAATGTATATTTGTTCAACAGTAAAACTAAGTTTCAATGTAAATGAGTTAAGTTACATAATGTTGACAATGATTATTTGGGTACATCAGAACAATCCTTACTGCACATTCTAATGTGCCCAATTAGTCTAAAAAGAATTATTCAATTAAAGTATCAAACAACATTTCGAGGAAGTCTTTAGATGATATAGATTATTAAAATACTTTTGTTTTGTTTGTTTATTGTTAATTATAAGCAATGGACTATCTGCCCATGTCGGGTATCGAAACACGAGTTTCGGCGTTATAACTCCCCAAACTAAATTACATTTAAGTTCATCGACAAAATTTCTTGAAACTGAACAATAATTTATTACTTTGCTTTGTTTCTTGATTAGGGCCCTCAGAACTCGTCGAATCATGATTACATGTAACCTGTCGGTTTGTCTACTGGTTATGAACCTCCTAATTCTAACTGGATTAAATCACACCCAGCATAAGGTATATTTAGTCAGTAAATACTTGTTTTCCGTAAATGTTCCAAACAATTTTCTTAGTTTGTGAAGATTGTTCCAGGTTTTAAATACAAATAAATAAATTAAGACTTTCCAGAGACGGTAGTATTCCACAACAAACTTGGGCTACATGATTAGCATTATGCCACAATAAACCTAGAGTACAGGATCGGATCTATTCCACAACAAACTTGGGTTACATGATTAGCGTTATGCCACAACAAACTTGGGTTACATGATTAGCGTTATGCCACAACAAACTTGGGTTATGTGATTAGCGTTATGCCACAACAAACTTGGGTTATATGATTAGCGTTATGCCACAATAAACCTAGAGTACAGGATCGGATCTATTCCACAACAAACTTGGGCTACATGATTAGCGTTATGCCACAATAAACCAAGAGTACAGGAAGGGATCTATTCCACCACAGACCTGAAATACAGGTTTCGTTTGAATGATATGACGTAAGATATAAACAAAATATCCTGCAGTATGTAAAAATGTACAATGTAGCGAAAGATATTTCGTAGTGTTCAGGACATTGCTATCATAGTGAAAGCGATAAAGAAAAGTCTCTATCGCTTATTTTATCTAGAGCAGGGGTTCTCAACCTTTATGCTACCAGGGAACCCTTATTCGACCAGGGGTTCTCAACCCTTATGCTACCACGGAACCTTTATTCGACCAGGGGTTCTCAACCCTTATGCTACCACGGAACCTTTATTCGACCAGGGGTTCTCAACCTTTATGCTACCACGGAACCCTTATACGATCAGGGGTTCTCAACCTTTATGCTCCCACGGAACCCTTATTCGACCAGGGGTTCTCAACCATTATGCTACCACGGAACCCTTATTCGACCAGGGGTTCTCAACCATTATGCTATCACGGAACCCTTATTCGACGATTTATTTGCAGTGAAACCCTAATATAATTAAATAAGTTTAATCTGATGTTATGTTTCAATTTCAACTGCAATAATAATATAATACATATAATGTGTTTCTCTTATATATATATATATATATCAGATTAAACTTATTTAATTATATTATTCATAATAATGTATATCTGTATTAACCTGAGAGCACAATAATATATAATTATGAAAACAAAATACCCAAATAAATTTTACACAGACCTTAATAGAAATATTTGTTGTTAATTACTACCTCAGTTCAACGTGCTGTTTGCTGTCTAGGAGCTTCTTGAAATTACATTCAGTGTGAGATATTTTCAACCTTATGTCTGGGTCAGTATCAAGCTTAGAGAGCCAGAAAAATTGTGACAGTTACAGAACAGTCTCAGCTTTGTTTTATGATATTACTACCATTACAGATTTTTTTTTCTTGCGGAACCCAGGTTGAGAAACGCTGATCTGGAGAGAAGTGTGTAGTAAACGAATATCTATAAATGTTCAGTTCTTTTGTCGCAAACGTTGAAAGTACTTTATAATATTGAATTCAAATTTCACAGTAACAATGTAGGTAATTAGTAGTCACAAACTAGCTATTTTTAATTTAAAGTTACCTTGCAAAATGAAGCGAAGAAGACCTACATTGATTAGTCAGTGTGAAACATGCAAGATATACTGAAAAAAATGTTGTGTAAAGTTTAGTTCGTGTGAAAACTTGTAGATACAATAACATTTGCTTGTACTGAGGAATAATACATAATACCTGAATCAGTAGCATTTTAGAGGAAGCAGTGAACGCACAGTAGTAAAGACACCCTGTTCATGTGACACAATATAGGATGTAATGATGACATCATGCAATACTGATTCCACCAGAGATGTAATAGTTCATCAAGACAGTAATATCTAGTTCATGTGATATCATGTAGGATGTCATGAACACAAACTAATATTCAGTTTATGTAAAGTTAAATGTTATAAAAACACACACTTATATTCAGGTGATGCGATACAATGTAGACATAGCTCGTGTGACATCACGTAGGGTGTAAGGAAGATATGTAATATTTAGCTTACTTGGCACCATATAGAATATAGTGAAAACATGTAATGTTTAGCTTACTTGATATCATATAGGATATAGTGAAGACACTATAATGTTTAGTTCATGCAACACGATGTTAGAAAAAGTGAAAAGACTCCGTAACATTTACTTATTGTTACATCACGTATGTAATTTAATGATGACACTTGTAATGTTTAGCTCACCTGATACCATATACGATGTAAAGAAAACACTTCGTAAGGTTAACAATATATTTAGCATACTCTGTAGTGTTTAAATCATAAACAATATGAGATTTAATGATGACACTTCGTAACATTAAATCTATGTGAGATCATAGTAGACTGTGTTAAGATTAAGTAAGTAGTCATTATAGCAAGATGGTATGTTTCACGAATACTCTGTAAAGTTTAATTCATGTGTTATCGTATAGGTGGCGTGTGCATTGATTGCTGGAGTTTTACATTATGCTGTGCTTGCAGCCTTTGCGTGGATGCTACTGGAAGGACTTTACCTCTACCAAACCCTAGTTCTTGTATTTAGTAGGTTAAACGATGTGAAGCCGGTGTGGTTTTATGTATTTGGATACGGTAAGTACTTTCAAGTACAGAAATGGAAACGATTAATAAGAAAAACAAAGAGCTGTATATCACACCCGGAGTTCCTTTTTTTAATTATACTTGAGGAAAAACAAATAGTTCAGTAAATTCGTTATATATATTTTAAAGTTTAAAAAAATTAGAATATTGTATAAGATTATCTATTATTCTTCCAAGCTCCCAAGCCATACCATATTTTGTGAGAACAAGGTGTGAGCTTTAAATTGTATGTATCAGACAGCAATTTCTTCATGGCAAAACTGCTTTTAATCAGCAAACGTGTTTATATTTTATTTAAACAACATCATGTGTTATGCAGAAACACTATTAATAGTTGCACGTTTTTATATAGTGTTTAGACCTCGACACATTTTAGCCACATTGTCATATTTCAACCATCCTCACATTGTGCTGTAATCAACTTCATGAAATCACCAAAATGTAATGATCTCTTATGGTTGTAGCAGTTTCTATTGATGAGCGAGTTCGATCGGATTGTCCCCCAGTGACACAGCGGTATGTCTGCGGACTTACAAAGCTAGAAACCGGGTCTCGATACCCGTGGTGGGCAGAGCACAGATAGCCCATTGTGTAGCTTTGTGCTTAACCTCAAACAAACAAGTCTACCGGATTATTCGGTAAAAACAGAGTGCACAATTCAGTTCACTTAATAATGACGAAACCGATAAACCTAAGTTCACAGCAGACGCTAGTACAACAATTACACACACTAACTTCTTTCTCTACTTCGTGGAAACACAAACTCAATATTCACAAAATTGAGATAACTGACTTATGGGATGCTAGTAACAGACAGGTTGACTAATAAACTCACTAAGTCAAAAATAAATCATCTACTGTAACAGCCTCACAAATCAGTCTTCATCTACTCATGACTGACTATCATTTTTATACTACTCAAATCACTACCTAAACTATCAAGAAGGTTCTAGTCATTAAGCAATATGTTCATTACATGACGTATCAAAATGTATGTATTTTTGGGTAAAGCCACGTTTGGCTATCTGCCGTGTCCACTGCGGGGAATCGAACCCCATATTTTTGCGTTGTACGTCTGTAAACTTACCGCTGACCCACCGTCTACGTGAGGTCATGAAGCAACAATACAAAGTTAAAAACAACAAAAAACAGCATTTTAAATTGGATAAAATTTTAGGAAGGTCAGTCGTGCACCTTAACGCACGAAACAAATAAGCTTTAGTGCAACAAATGGTAAATATTACCATTCTGAAGATAATACAACTGAATGCTCAAATCGTAATAAGTTGTAGCAATAACTACCCATCATGCATATTTACATTTTCTTTTGTTTCTATTTACAATGTGCCAACTTGAAAATTCACTCCATATTTTAAAACAAATTATCTTTAGGTAGGCATTACACTATGTTTGATAACCGTTTTATCTGTTGTTTAGTCAATTTTTAACTCAAACACCGGTAATGTTTAATTAGTAAGATTTAATTTCATGCTACGTCGAAAGCAATATAAAGCAAAATGACCTAAATGGGTTTCTGAAACTGTTAAATTGTACATAAACTTCTTTTGTCTTCTATTACAGGATTACCACTTGTCATAGTAGCAGTTTCATCTGGCGTTCGATACTCTGATTATGGAACGGAAAAACAGTGAGTTTTACAAAATCCAAATTGTTTCATTAGATAAGAAATAACGTAAAGAGTAGAAAAACAAAACGTTTTTTAATTTTAATATAATAGCACAATGTGCCTAAAACGACTGTTTGTTTGTTCTTGAATTTCGCGCAAATCTACACGAGGGCTATCTGCGCTAACCGTCCCTAATTTAACATTGAAAGATTAGATGGAAGGCAGCTAGTCATCACCACCCACCGCCAACTCTTGGGCTACTATTTTTACCAACGAATAGTGGGATTGACCGTCACATTATAACACCCCACGGCTCAAAGGGCGAGCTTGTTTGGTGAGACGGGGATTCGAACCCGCGACCCTCAGATTGCGAGTCGAGCGCCCTAACCACCTGGCCATGCTGGGCCGCCTAAAATTAAATTAATAAAAATACAACGTTTTGATTATCTCCGTGACTTTTTTAAACGTTACTTTTTCATCTAACAAAACAGACTTTTGCAAGATCACATACTTCAAAATTACAAAGCACAAAGCGACGAGGATATTCTCCAGTATTCAGCTGGTTGAACGGATGTGTCATGGAAGAAACTTTTGTACACGTGACTTGTGTCGTTTTTCCAGACGATCATCTTTCTTTACTATGTTGCGCAGTGTTACCTGAGACGTGTGGATGACTTCTGTTTTCGTGGATCTTCATCTACAAAACGTTGCACATTTCTTAGAACAGCTGGGGTACAAATTTGTTGCAGGTCCCTTTCTGGATGGTCCTGGTACTCCAAGACGATCACATTCCTTTATTTTCCAATGTTATTAAACACAATGGATATTCCCCTCTTGGTAATTCTAAATACCCAATCTGAACGCATCTTTATTATCTGAGTATATGAATATTTTGCATAGGAACTGTTTTTATATACCATTTCTAACAGCAATCACTTTTCAGTGGTATCACACTGTCCAAGACCCCTAAATAATAACCACTCCTTACTACTTATGTATTCATCCAATCTTTTCTTGAACTCAGTAAAATTTTCTGCTTCCATCACCCTCGAAGGCAGCTCATTCCGAGAGCAAACCACCCTCTTTGAAAAATAATACTGTCTAAACTGTAGACGACTCCTACGCTGCTAAAATTTGAATTTATGGCCCCTTGTCCTATTGTTTTCACTGCTAAACACAAAAAATGTTTGATGGATCTGTATTATCGATACCTTAATAATCTTAAACACCTCAATAAAGTCCCCTCTGACCCAGAAAAAACAAGTTTAGAGATTTTAGTCTCTCCTCATAGGACAATCCTATGATCCTAGTGACTCTTCTCTGAACCTTCTCCAACAGTTCAATGTCCTTCTTGAGGAAGGCAGCCCAAAACTGTGCACAGAACTGTAAATGAGGCCTCACAACTGATCTATACAGTGAAACAATAATATCCCTTGTCTTGTATTCAATATTTCTATAGGTACTACCTAAAATCCTATTAGCCCTATTGCTAGCTACAATACACTGTTTAGTTGACTTAAGTGATTTTTCGATCACACACCAAGATCTTTTTCTTCATGCACAGTATTTAATGTAATCCCATTTAAATTGTAACAGTAATTTGAATTGTGGAAACCCACATGCATCACCTTACATTTGGGATAGTTAACTATCATCTACCACGTATTGGCCCAAATGCATCAAATGATTTAAATCTCCCTGTAAGTCTACAACATCTTTGATACAGTTAGCTACCCCAAAAATTTTAATGTCATCTACAAACTTCAAAATTTTGTTAGACATTCCAGAGTCAATATTATTAATATAAATCACAAACAGCAGAGGACCCTACAAAGAGCCTTGAGGCACACCACTTGTAACTGTGATCCAGTCAGACCTAATTCCATTTATTACTACTCTCTGTTTTCTACTATCCAACCAGTTTTCTATTCAAATTAATAACATTCCCCCTACACCCACAGATTTGATTTTTGTAACAAGTCTTTTGTGAGTCACCTTACCAAACGCTTTCTGAAAATCAAGGTAAACCAAATCCAAAGTATTTCCTTCATCAACTCTTGCAGTAACATCCTCAAAGAATGTCAGAAGATTTGTTAAAGAAAACGTTCCCTTAGTGAAACCATGCTGGCTCTTTGATGTATTCCTTTCCACGGCGTCTTTAGATCGATTGTGCTTATAACGTGACTTGCTGATTTGCATATTCAAAATTGTTATAATACAACGTATTCAGACCTCTGTAAACACACGATACAACAAATATAATCGTCTACTAAGTACTTGATGTAACAAGTATATTCACCTAATAAACACTTAAAATGGGAGATATTCTAGCCTAATAAACACTGACGTATCAGATACTTTTACATAATAAACGTTTGATAGTCCAGATATACTCGTCATAAATAGTTTAAGAATACTTTTTCTAATTTCTTCAGCTGTTGGCTTTCTCGAGTAGACGGTCTTATGTGGAGTGTTGCTGGTCCAGTTGGTTTTGTCATCTTGGTAAGTTTTTCTCTACGATTTCTATAAATCTCTATTTTTATTTTATTTTTACTTTGTTTTGTTTTTGAATTTCGCGCAAAGATACACGAGAGCTATCTGCGCTAGCCATCCCTAATTTAGCAGTATAAGACTAGAGGGAAGGCAGCTAGTCATCACCGCTTACCGCCAACTCTTGGGTTACTATTTTTACCAACTAATAGAGGGATTGACCGTCACATTATAACGCCCACACGGCTGAAAGGGCGAGCATGTTTAGTGGGACGAGGATTCGAACCCACGACCCGCCGATTGCGAGTCGAGCTCCCTAGCCACCTGGCCATGCTGGACCCTTATTTTTACTTTCAAATGTTTAAAAATTTTAATCTTGTAATTCTAAATTTTACTTTAAACAAAGTGCATATGCCCCAAACAGCTACTTTTCATAATAAAAGCGGTCAGATGTAGCTTAGTAGTTAGTATGATGGGAGCTACTGACTGATTGGTCCTCTTATAGTGAACAGTTGTTGTAAAGTAAAAATGATTCTGCCTGAACCTTACAGATCTCTGACCTGACTGATTAGCCACTTTGTCGTTGTACCGTTTGGGTTACAAATTACAATATAAATTATTATTAGTTTACCCTCAGACTACCGAAGGTTTCACACAAAAATACACGTTATACATATATTGACTGTTATCTCGATCTTGTTGCTATTAAGATATTAACCATCCTTCATTACAGAATAAAATTTTACTCTTCTGTAATATTTGACACAAAAATACCGAAAAAGTCTTTCTACTCCCGAATTGGAATGTCTTCATTTGTCAACGAGTTTGTTTAATTAAAATCCAACTACAACCTAAGATTATCGCCTCAAGAATTAGTTGATTTCCTCCGTGCGCTTAAGTCTCTTTTGACTACTGGATATCATATATATAAACTGGAAAAAGTTGAGACATTTTCTTGCTATCTCAGGTTTTGTATTTCAATTTATTTGCTCTGTAAACCAGAAAATGTACTATTCCTTCTTACAAATTATTCAATTTTTCTCCACTCCTCAGCAGATTAGTAAATGCCATATATTTAATAAGTTTGGAATGTGGCACACTGATGGGTTGAATATATTGATATTTTTATGTAAAACGTTTTATATGTCAAAAATGGTTGCAGGAAAGTTTAAGTAATCAACTAATGTGTTTATTATATTCTTTATATTTCTAAATGGCATTAGGTATTTTATATGAATGCTATTTGTAATAGAATTTAAATAATTCTAGAATTTGCTGAACGTTTTACGGAAAATTTTCATTCACAAACTGGGACAAGGAGATTAATTTATCGACATCTGTCAGTTCAACAGATTAAAAACGTTTAATACTCTAATACTGTATATAAGATTACATATGCAGTCTTGTTAGCTTGCTGTTAAAAATGGCAATGACAAGGCTATACACTGCATTAAAGCAATGTTCATAAAAGCGCTCAAGATCAAATTATCCAAACTATGAGAAAGATTAAAGTTTACTATTAGAACTTACAGATAACATAACTACTTAGAACAGTGACTCAAAAACATTTATTTTAGTATTTAATGCCACTCTCCATTCGTTAGAACAACGAAATAACCTTATTGTGGTGTAGTGTTTACAGACACGCCCACATATAATTTCTTAACACTCAAGCTCGCTTAGGTATAATAATATCTGGTATTACCTACCTAGATACTGTGGATAAGAATGGTATCTCGAAAAGCTGCAGCTTGCGGTTAATCATAATAGTGTGAATTTATTGCCCCATATAATTTATTATGCTTCATATTTCGGTTTTATATCTCCTTAACGTTCGCCCTTCTCGTACCATGTGGCCACTTTAGAGCCAAAGAGATTATTTGTTACTAAAAAGTGGCCTTTCATGTTTAGTCTATTGGTTATAACGGAACTGGTTACATTAATGGTCATACTAGCTTTTTACGAAAACCAAAACAAAATATTAACATGCACACAAACAATGTTCAAAGGTTTGACAAAGTGTGTAGTTTTATCTTTAAATGAACTTAAAGCTACTTAAATTTCAAGTATATATTTTTTCCACACGTGATCATTTCACGTGACCATGAAACAATACCACATGTGGAGACATTCTGGCTGTGAAACACTAAAGAAGAACATGATCTTGGACTTACAAAGTACAGACAGTTATTTGAATCAAAATTGCATTTTATTTATTGTTATTATTTCTGCAGCGCCAATCCAATAAAATTCAAAAGATTATAAAAATATTATAAAACGTTATTCAAACTCAATAATAATAATAATAATAATAACAGAAACGTCACACAAAACCTTCTACATTCCAAGATAAAAAGTAGTTTTTCTCAATATAGGTGTCTCCCCGCTGGAACAGTGGTAATTCTTCAGACTTACAACGCTAGAATCAGGGGTTCGATGTCCCTCAGTGGACAAAGCAGATAGCCCGATGTGGCTTAACTATAAGAAAACACACACTCAATATAGGTTACTTCACCTCCGCCATGTATGTTTTGGCGCACACCGCCCATCAAGGTTATCTTTGTTAATTAAAATATACTAAACGTTTGATTTAACAACGCAAGTTTAAAGGAGTATAAATGGTGCATTGATACTTTTTCTTTTAATGTGGAGGATAAAATTAATTTTTCATTCTTTTAATAGTGGTAATTATTCTCAAAGAAATTTTAGGTTTTATTATTCGGTTTACACAGTTACGTGACTATTACGGGAACACCATATTGACAAGATAAGTTTGACCTATCATCTCACTGTTCCATTTGCTTTATTTTAATTTTTTTTTACGTTTCGTCAGAAGTACCTAGTCCCACAACTAGTTCCAGACATGTTAGGCTTGCGAATGAAATAGAGATTAAAGCTGATAACCAGTGTATACTCACTACATTGTATACCCTATATCCACAGATACTTCTCTAACTAGGTCTATTTTATCTCTTTCGTGAAATGTTTTTAAAATACGAAAGGTAAGGAAATGCTACTGAGTTAGGCTTCCTTTGCCTTAAGTGTTAAATTTATCATAACGTTCGTGTTATCTTTGTAAACACAGACATGAACTGTCACCGGAAATATCCGTTAGTTTGAAAACAAAACAACCACTCCTGTTTGCAATCCGCCCCACATATTCAAACTATATTTACTATTTCCTTTCTCACATTATTTCACCCTTTATTTTCTGTTATTTAATTTCGGTAAAATCTGCATTGGAATTGTATAAACTTTAAATGGGATGCTAAATAATTAAAACACATGTTTCTTTATATATAGTCTTTACAGATATGGATTAGTGTCTTGAAAAAGCGTAGTTCTAACAAATATAGTTAATTAATCTTTCTAAATATACAAATAGCTCCACATAAAAAAAGTAGATCAAATTATAACATATCCTGTTGCACTATTTATCATTTTAGTTATTAATTCTTCTTGTTTTATTCTGATAATTTGCGTTTATAGAATACCTTTACTGCAAAATTCATTGGATATACTTCTGAATAATACTTTACACATTTAATGCGCTTTAGTTACAACAAATCGGTTATGTGACTATATTTTTATGACAAGGCTTTTTCTCGAGTCTTTTATCGAACGCTTAAAAACAAGTTCCATAATTATGCTAATTTTAAAAAGTTATTTTGTATTTCCAATTTTAAATTCCTTGTTCCCAAATCAACTGCCTTTAATTTAATTGTTTGAAATATTTACTAGTGATAGACTGTTAATCAAGAGGTTTAATGAATTTATACATCCAAAATCCTCCACCAGGTTAATACAGTGTTTTTCATTATGGGCCTACGTTCTGCCTCGTCCGTAAAAATCAGAAACCACCAGACACAAGCCATCAAAACATTGTAAGCCAATAAAATATATAAAATAATATAATTTTCAGATAAAACCGTTTCATATATTTAACGTGTAAACAAAACTTTAATATTTTCTACAAGTAATATAAAATAGATTAAGCATAAAATCATAAACTATTTGAGATTTGTGATATTTTTATTACATCTTCAAAAATACTAAATTTCTTAAAATTTGTAGCAATGTTAAGGGTAAAAACAAAGAAGTTATCTATTTAAAAAATCTGTATGATGTATAAAAATATACATGGCATTCAACATCTTTTATATTCTAACGCTAATCTTAAAGTAAGTTCTTTCAGCACTTACTATGATCTGAAAAGTGAAATTGTATCTATACAGAAACTTTTTGAAAGGCTCCTTCTCTTTGATGGTACTACTTGGACTTACGTGGACGTTCGGTTTTTTTCTCACATCTGAAAAGACCATGGTGATGGCATACATTTTTTTGGTCCTAAACGGGCTCCAGGTGTGTGTTTTTCAGAGTTTAAAGATTTATTTTCTCGCATTACCTACATACAGTTAAAAGTACAAAGACATTATTAAATGTATAGTTTAATCTATCAGGACAAGTTTCATGGTATATAAACTTTAAAATAAGTAACACTGATTAATTTTTTGTTAAATTCAAGTATTAATTTTATAGTAATAGCATTTTTTATTGATTAATTTAACTTAATTTTCCAATAATTGAATTTTTTTATCAATTTAAGTGGGTTGTGCTTAACGGAAGATTATTAGATAGATTAAATATGAGATTTACGTTAATAACAGACAATCTTAATAATTTGAAATGCATTACACCAACACTTTTTTGTATTAGTTATTCTGAAACTTTTTTATTGTCATTGTTTTGTATATTAAGTTATTTTGATTTATTTTATCATAGTGACTCAGCGATACGTCTGAGGGCGTACCATGCTAAAAGTTGGATTTCGATACCCGCTGTGAACACGACATAGATATGCAGTTATATAGCTTTGTGCTTAACAAAACAAACAAATTTACCGTTATTCTCTTTCATGTGCATTCATATGAGTTGCTACAATATAGGATTTGATATGAAAAATTTAAAATTTTAATGAAATCTAAATTAATAATGTCTTTGTACGTTTAACTGTATCTACATGATGCGAGATTCATTTTGTGGTTTTTATATTAATTAGTTTCAGAATAATTTACTTTATTATTCTTAAGTTCATATTTGAATATATTTCGCTTTAAAGCACTTTTAAATGTATTAATTTATGAAAATACTTTTGCCTATTAATTATACTAATACTTATTTGTATTTTAAATAAACTTAATATTAATTTTAGTTACTTATGCATTAATTTGATTATTATTGTATTATCTTGTTTACAATTCTTGTTAAATAGTTTGTTATTACTTTGATTTATTGTGTTATTTGACTTTTTAAAATAAAGTTATAAAATTGTACACAAAAAATAATATTCCTGAATAGTCTAAAACATCAGTGAAACAAACTCTATCATATTTTTATCTCATATTATGGTTCTTATCATCTTTTTTTTTGTTTTTTAAGGGACTGTTCATATTTATCTTCCATATCTTGGTGAATGAAAATTACAGAAATAGACTTTTGAGTGTGTTGACAGGAAAACGAACAACCCAACCAGTTAGCAACATGGTAGGTCTCTTTTTCTGTTACAGTATGGTAAGATTCTGTCCTGTGCTACAGAAATACTATCCGATACCTTTGTTTCTCGCACTGTAACAACGCTGTCTAGTTTGATAAGGTTCTTTCATTTACTTAAGAAAACACTGTTTGAGGCGAGGAGTTATATTTTTTTATCTGTCTATCACCCCCCCCCCCCAGTGGCAGCGGTATGTCTGCGGAGTTACAGGGTTTCGATACCCGTGGTGGGCAGAGCACAGATAGCCCATCTTGTAACTTTGTGCTTAATAATAAACAAATAGACAAAATAGACTTTTGATTTTCAGTTATTCACTAGGGGAAAACACTATTTAATGTAGTGAACTTCTTTTTTTATTACTGTATACACAGTTTCATATATGTAGTGAATTTCTTCTCTTTGATTCAAAAAATCGTGTTTGATATTGAACTACTTTTCTTTGCTATAGGAAACAGTTTAATACAGAGTTGCTTTTCCTTGCTGTAGAGAACAGTGTTTGATACCGAGTTACTTTGCTATAGACAACAGTGTTTAATATCGAGCTACTTTTCCTTGTTATAGGCAACAGTGTTTAATATCGAGCTACTTTTCCTTGTTATAGACAACAGTGTTTGATATCGAGTTACTTTTCCGTACTACAGACAACAGTGTTTAAAACCAGAACTACTTTTCCTTGCTATAGACAACAGTGTTTAAAATCAGAATTACTTTTCCTTGCTATAGACGAGTGTTTGATACCGAGCTACTTTTCCTTGCTATAGACGACAGTGTTTGACACCGAGATACTTTTCTTTGCTATAGACAACAGTGTTTGATACCGAGTTACTTTTCTTTGCTATATACAACAGTGTTTGATACCGAGATACTTTTCTTTGCAGGACAAAGATTGTTTAATACCGAGTTAATTTTCTTTGCTACAGACAACAGTGTTTAATACCAAGATAGTTTTCCTTGCTATAGACAAGTATTTAATACCGAGCTACTTTTCTTTGCTATAGACGAGTGTTTAAAACCAGAATTACTTTTCCTTGCTATATACAACAGTGTTTAAAACCAGAATTACTTTCCCTTGCTATAGACAACAGTGTTTAATACCAAGGTACTTTTCCTTGCTATAGACAAGTGTTTAATACCGAGCTAGATTTCTTTGCTATAGACAACAGTGTCTAAAACCAGAATTAATTTTCCTTGCTATAGACAACAGTGTTTAAAATCAGAATTACTTTTCCTTGCTATAGACGAGTGTTTGATACCGAGTTACTTTTCCTTGCTATAGACAACAGTGTTTGATATCGAGTTACTTTTCCTTGCTATAGACGACAGTGTTTGATACTGAGATACTTTTCCTTGCTATAGACGACAGTGTTTGATACTGAGATACTTTTCCTTGCTATGGACAACAGTGTTTAATACCAAGCTACTTTTCCTTGCTATAGACAAGTGTTTAATACCGAGCTTCTTTTCTTTGCTATAGACAACAGTGTTTAAAACCAGAATTACTTTTCCTTGCTATAGACAACAGTGTTTGATACCGAGCTACTTTTCCTTGCTATAGACGACAGTGTTTGATACCGAGATACTTTTCTTTGCTATAGGAAACAGTTTAATACCGAGTAAGTTTAATATCTAGTAACTTTGCTATAGGAAAAACAGTTTCATACCGAGTAACTTTCTTATAGGCAACAGTATTTAATACCGAATTACTTTTATTTGCTATAGACAACAGTATTTCATATCGAGTTACGTTTTATATGTACAACAGTTTTTGATAGGACAAATTTCTTTAATTTGTCTTTTTTGTAGAAAACTGTTTATATATATAATAATTTTCTTTTCCTGCACGAAATAAACTGTTTCCTATGGCGAGTTTCTTCTCCTGACTACAAAAAAACAGTGTTTGATATCGGAAGTTCGAAGTTTTTTATTTTTTATATATCTATTTATTTTATTTTTTGATAAAGAAAATACTTTAAATACTGCGAATTTCTTTTCTGTCCTGCCTGAAACAGTTTATCATGAGAAGTTTTCTGTGGGGTCCTACTGATAAACTTAAAAAAAAAAATCAATATTTGATATGGCAAGCTTTTCTCAGAAAAATGCTTTCATATTGTGAATTTTTTCGTTACTACACAAAACAGTATTTAATATAACAAATTTATTTACTTTTCTACAATAAATACTTTACTATATTAAATATCGCACTTTGCGATAGCAAGCATCTTTATTCCAAAAATCAGTTTTTGCTATAGCAACTATCCCTAGTTGTATATATGGACTGGTAATTAGGAGGTTCAACTTGCAATCTGTGGGTCGCGAGTTCGAATCCTGTTACCAAAAATCCTTGTCTTTTCGACCGTAGGAGCATTATAATGTGACGGTCCCATGTTTTGTTCGTAAAAAGTAATTGGCGGTGGGTGGTGTTGACTAGCTAACTAGCTGTCTTTCCTCTACTCTACCACTTCTAAATTAGGGACAGCCAACTCAGATAGCTCTCGAATAGCTTTGCAAGAAATTTCAAAAACAAACAAATTTAAGAATCAGTTTTTGATACGACAAGATTCATTTCATAGTTCCAAAAACTTTGTATGGTAAGTTTTTTTTGTTTGTTTTTTGGCAAAAACACTTTCTGATATGGAGACTTTGCTCCAAAAATCACTCCTTCGTAAAGCAAGATACTAAACAAAACACTGTTGGATATAGTAACTCTATCATGAGACTTTTTGTTGCAACATTAGTTTTTATGTGATGAATATATTTAGTATACTATAGCAAACATTGTTTTGAAATATTAAGTAATCTATAAATGAAGTCCCAGTTTAAGTTGACGCATAGCGTCTGTTCATCACTGATACTGTTTAGAATTATTAAAATATTACAAATAAAAACACAACAATGTCAGACACTGTCAGTTTAATGTGGTGAATTTCTTTATTATTCTATAAATATTCCGTTTCATGCGATGATTTCTTTTAGGCTCTGAAACATTCTTCTCGAATGAGTGAGTTGGGTCATCCAAACCGATCTGACAGCCGTAAAACTACCACCTCCATGGTTGCACTGAACTAATCACCATTCTAAGACATCGTCCGTCGATTAAGTTCCAAAAAAGACCCTTGAGAAAAGTATTATTTGTAAAATTATATCAAGTTGCTGAAATTACCCACTATTTGTATTCTTACTGACCAGAGCAAGGTAGTTATCTTCTTAGACGAAAGTATTCTATGCGTTAAATGAACCCAGAACAAGTTATTTTTTTTATCATTTTTGAGTCATTGTAATTTCAGTCTATGGAAAATACAACTTAATGAAACAAATTTACAGTTATTGTGGTCTATGCTCGATGCTTATTGAGCACAGACACAAGCATATAAAGAAGGGATGGGCAAGAGGCACACCATACAACTTATAAAAGCATATAAAGATGGGATGGACAAGAGGCACCCCATACAACTGACACAAGCATATAAAAAAGGATGGGCAAGAGGCACCCCATACAACTGACACAAGCATATAAAGAAGGGATGGGCAAGAGGCACCCCTTACAACTTAATTTTGTCCGCCAAATTTCCGCTATATAAATATCGGTGCCAGATTGGAGATGTTTATAAAAAAATATAAGAAGAAAATTTCTAAACGCATTTCAGCATTTTTTGCAATGAAAAATACTATACGGATGAAAAATTCACTATTTGATGACTTCTCCAAGCCTGTTGTTCCTTTGGATGTGGTTTCACTGGATAGTAAAAACAACAATAAATATATAATTACAGCATTAAAACTGCTGAGTGTAAATATATTTAGAATTTCAAACATACATAAATATTTCGAAGATATTTTAATATTGTCAAACTATAACGATGTGTTATCTTATATTTTTAAACGTTTAAGTTGAAATTTCCTTATGAAATTAAACGTTTAAACTCCGATAGCATGTTCCAAATCTTGTCACATTTCGACATTATAGATTAGTTAAAGCATATTGTCAGCCGTTAGAGCATTACCATAATAAAGTAATATCAGTTTACTCTTACATTAGATATATTTTATCGACCAGACTTGCCTGAAATTTCACAAATATTACTCGCATATTGGCACAGTCGCATCAAAGGAGTTAAAGTATGCTCAGTTTACCTTTGATGCACAAATATAAAAGTATAGAGAATTTGTTACAGAGTCAAACTCTAGGTGTATATGACCTTTATACAAGGTATATTTGTAGATGTAAAAAACCATATCATTTTCAACTGTAAGGTATAATTATAGCTATTACTTTATCGTAATACACTGAAGGATTTAAACATTCATAAATAGTTTTATTTTAGGTATGCAAGACTTTATTTAAAATGTGAAGTATCTAATCATATAAAACAATATTGCTCTTTACAACAAGCCAACAGTTTTTGTAATATTATAAAAAAAATTAAATTTAATTCCAAAGTTTTGAAACCTTATAAAACGCCACTTTCTCGACACTTGAGTATACTGAACCCACTTGTTTTATTTTCATTTTAGAAATATATAAAATACCTTACAATCAAATGTTAAAAAATGATAAAAATTGACACTTCTACTGTATTAGAAATATTTTACTTCATTTAACCTAAAACAATATATCAAATGACTCTTGTGTTTAGGATAAGATATTCTTTATCTTATTTTATTGTTAAGTATAAAAGCTGCACAATGGGCTACCCGCACTAACCCACAGCAAGGATCGAAAGTTATCATTATAATCCTTGTTAGCATTACAATTCCTGAAGCTTACTGCTAAGCAGTGACTTTGATATTAGACCGATTCTACTTCCATGATCTCTCCATTTTATGTTTACCAAGCAACCCATTATGGTATCACTTAAAAATCCTTTATGTAAGAAGCTAATAATGGTTTAAAAAACATGCCAACTGTTCCTTCCACCTAGTGGAACTAACTGTCCATTCGAAATAAATTCAATGTTTTAATTTACTTGGGGATTTTATTTTATTTTTAAATTTGGAAAGGAAATTATTCAGCTTGTTTTCATATGTTTTATCCAGGCTTTTCGGTAGTTTTTAAAACATTTTCTTCACAATTTAGTATGTCAAAATGAGTATGTTGTACTTTGTTCTATCTACGTTGTTCCCCAGATAGTCAGCGGTAAATTTACGGACTTACAACGCTAAAAGCCACTGTTTGAATCCCCATGGTGAACAAAGCACGGATAGTTTATTGTGTAGAATTGCGATAAAACATTCTGTTTACAATTGTGTTACCTTTATGTGCTATATTTATTAAGATTTGCTTAGGTTTCTTTAATTATTTCAGTGCAGATATTATATTTTGTTAACTTATCTATAAGTTGTTTTTTTTTATAGAAAGTATGTCAAAACACCAATATTTATGGCATTTGAGAAAAAAAAAACAATACTTTACTTTAGGTCAAGTTAACTTTCATCATGTCTAACAGTAGGTGGCAGGTTGAACAACCGATGCTACAAAATCCACATAAATATTACGTTCTCATCGTTTTCTTGGAGCTTTAAAAGAGAGGGTGGGGCCGTAAGACTGTTTGCTTACCAAAACACTTTGGAAACATAACAGTAAACCACCTGCGCCATGCATGCGTGTTAACGTAATATAAAAATTTATGTTCGTAGTGACATCATTATGCCCTTAAGATAGAACCGACCGGTTCAGCCGTGTAAATAATACTAACAACTTATTAATATTCACTAGCTATATATTTTTCCATCAACTTTAGCACGACGAGCTTTGGAATTATTTATACAATCCTTACATTCAGTGGAACACAAACATAGTTTCTGTTACTATAACAGCAGTTGCCAAGAAACTTAAAACAAACAAATGTTCTCTATCGTAGTCCTCCGGTGTGCAGTTGATAAGTTTACAGACTTATAACGCTAAAATTGGGAGTTCAATTCCTCGTGATAAACAGAGCGCAGATAGCTTTATCGTAATCATCTTTATCGTAATCTTTGTGGTTCTACTGATTTTCGTGTGTCTTTACGTGTTAACTACCTTCTATATTTCTTAACGTTACAGTTTAGATTTTTTAATGTAGATCTTAATAAAGTTATTTATATATTAAAATTAATATCGGAATAACTCGATCAGCAGGTTTTCTTGTACATCGATATTCTACATAATTCCATATCTGCTTCATTAATAACAACAAATCAACCCATTTTCACATAGAAATTATTCAACTCAGAAACCAATCTGCCTGAAATTCAAATAAAACTTGATTTTTACAACTTTGTTTTGCCTTTTATTTTAGTGTTAATCATAAAACTTTCGACTGTTTTTTTTTTTATATTTAAAACATTTTGATTAACGGTTTATCTAACTTTGGCTTTCTTCTTAATTTAACTTTACATACTGGATCCGCTGTAAGGTCTTCGAGTCTCGCCATGTTAAATGGACATAACGTCTTTAGAACATCTATTGTCAGATATTTGTTATTCGAGTAACTAGTTCATAGATAGTGTTTTTTTTATTTCACTATTAAGGTTACAATACTCGTAATCAAGTTTCCTAACACCCTTTGACATTTATATCTTCTTACTCATAAAGCTGTACTGATATCACAAAATATGTGCTAAATAGAGTTAAAGAATAATATAATACTATTTACACAGAAGAAAGTTGTTTTCTTAACAAATTTATTAAATACAAGAATATTCAGAGTAAAGAGCTTGTACTTTGGTTTTGATCTGCAACAAGTGAGTAATTGTGAAATGGAAGGATTGTGAATGATAAATTCAAAAACATATTCACACGAAATTATACAAGTCTAGTATACAAATACTACATACTTTATTCTGGTATATATTTTATATATACAACTTGTTTTTAAGTTTTCTAAAGCTATAATTTGAAAACCGCTAAAACCGCTGGAGTACAAAGACGGCCCTAAACTGCCTTATCAAACGCTTCAACCATTGCACTGACCCAATTGGAATTGGCTGAGTCAGCATTTAGGCCAGTTATGTTAACGTGGCTATGGGATCAATGGCTGAATTGGAGTTAAAACCTATACCTTCCGAACTATCAAATAGAGTTTCGCAGGATAAATGTACTTTACAAATACGTGTGGTATATTATGTGGAAATAGTCGTGGTTTCACAGAAAACCACCTGTGTGATGTAAAGTTGCTGATATTACTGAAATATGAAACTGGTACTCTGTATACACAGAAGAAAAATAGACAAGAAAGCACAACAGAAAAACAATCGTTCTTTAAAACACAAATGAAATGAGATGAGAGCACACATGATAGAGAACTCTGACTGTTGAGAGCTATCTAAGTCAAGATGGAAATATATCTGGATGACTGACAACTATATACAAAAACACAAGCGTCATCTCTCCCAGAATATATACCTAACCCACACAGTTTGTAAAAATAGTTGTTTTCTTAGTACAAAGCTACGCAATAGACCATCTGCAATGTGTCCACCGTGAAGTATCAAGCGTTGGATGTTAGCGTTGCAAATCTATAAACTTACCTCTGACTCACCGGCGAACATTAAAAATAGTGAATAAATATCCTTCATATGTCACTATATTTATACACAGTTACTTCGATTCAACTAGAAACACTACATTAGTCTAAACCACATAAATCTACAGCGACATATTTTGTGAGAAAAATCCAGCAGCCACAAAGGCCAATGATCTATGACAATGGGTAACTAAGACACTAGCAACTTAGCCACAAGATGGAACCAGTTTCTCTGTTGTAATCCTATAAAATTAGATATTTGACACTACTTTAATCTAAAGATTTCAATTATACTTGTTGCTTAGAAATTGATATTCTCAATCTTATTTTCTTTGTGATTAAGCACAAAACTGCACAATAGTCAATCCATACTGTCCCCACCAGAGGGATCTATCTCCAAATTTTGATATTATAATCCCTCCCTAATCTTTTTGTATATTTATCAACCATTCCATTATTCTGTAACCTAAAAATCCTTTATGTAATAAGAGAATGATAATTTGAAACACGTGTTGACTGTTCCTTCCACCTAATTGAATGGTCTATTTGAAAGTAAAACACAATGTATTGCATTATTATAGTTAGTATCATCACATCTGAAAGTATACAGTATCGTGTAGATATGAACAATATAGAGCCCTGCGAAATCTCAGACTCATAATGTTTCCTCGAAGCCATTTGAAAAGATAACGTAGATCGTTTGTCTATGCAAACACTGAATTATAACACAACAATGAGCCATCTGGTATCATACGTACTTCATTCAGATAATACAGACCAGCTATGATGGCAAGAAAAAACAGAGTTCAACA